AAGCAGGCGCCTTTCTTTAGTAGGAAGAATCCAGGCCCGGTAGGAAGCCCGGTTGTACATTTTAAAGACTGTCCTTGCATGATTTAACATCAGCCTCCGTTTGGTCCTCTATAAGCTGGGGGTGATCATCTTTTCACTGCAGAGAACGGAGCAAAGTCATGTCCTCCCCATTGGTAACGCCAGCTGTCCCCTGATGGAGTGTCACACCAGCCGGGCCAGCCTCCGAGTGGTCTCGTGTGCTGGCGCCGGACATAAGCGACACTGTGCGCTGGCCTTGCCTAACCGTGCTCCTCTCTCTCCCATCCTCTGGCAGAGCTCCGGGCCCACTTTGAGCCTGCGTCGGAGACCGAAGGGGTGGATAAGGACACGGACGAGGCAGAAGAGGACTATCCCCAGGCAGACCCGCCTGGCCGGCAGGCACCTGTAGCATTCAGAGGGAGCAGCCCCCCTTCGGCGGGTGCCCCCCAGCCCCAGCAGCTCCAACACCAGCACCTGAGCCTCCAGCTGGGCGAGCTCAGACAGGAGACCAACAGGTGGGCAGGGGTGGGAAGATCACCGGGGCCAGTAAGGGAATCTGTGGCCTTGCTGAGGGTCCCCCCTCCCCCCAAGAGAGCTGGTCTCTTTAATTCACTTCCTGGCACATAGTAGGTGTTGTTAAAATGTTAAATGAATGAAAGGATTGTCATTTGCTCTGGGCAATCACATCCTGGGTGGACTTATGAAAACCCAACCCACAGGCAGAGCAGACTAGACAGTGCTGGTTCCGGAGGCTGCCTTGTGGCCCGCTCACGGCTCGTGCCGCGGAACAGGGAGACGCGGCGCCGGGTGTGCGTGTCGTGGAAGGAACGTTGTGTACGCGCTGGCGAGCTCTGAAGGAGGACCTTAGGCAGATCTAATCCTTTCTTTTGAGAGAGACCTAGAGTGTTTGTTTTAATTTTTGAGAGACCTGGAGTTTAAAAGGTAGAGGGGGGCAAAATTTTGAAAGCTTTTAAGGTATGACAAATGCAGAAGTTGATAGACTTTGCCCGGCAGGGTTCGGAATCCGCACGTGTATGAACGGTCACCTGCAGGCTCAGTGGTTCTTCCCCGGCACAGCTGACGGTCCCTCTACCACCTTCCGCTCTCAGTAGGACTAACAGGCGGCAGCGGCCGCAGGTGGCCGCCACACGCGTCCTTCCTCCACGGCCGCCGGGCCCTAGCTCGGTCCTGAGTGTGGGAGACCAGCGCCTGCGAAGCACGTAGCACAGTCCCGGGTTCCGTCAGTGTCCGCAGGTGTAGTCCCGCTGCTGGCGTCATCTTTCTGCCGGGCTGCCAGCTCCTTGGCTTCCCCCACCGAGGGGGAAGGAGCCCGAGCGCGCCTTCCAGCGACTTGATGAGACTCAGGGAGCCAAGCTGTCAGCACCAGCTCCTCCTGGCAGAGTTTACTGATCACCCTCAGGTCATCTGGTTCATGATACATTTTGAGACAAAATATGCCCGAGCCCTGAGTGCTGGTCTTTGTTTTCAAGGGGAGGAAACGTAAGGGAGGGGCCCAGGTATAGGCTGAAACCAGACTGTTGGGATTGTGTGATTTGGTTTTCTTTGCCCCAATCTCTTAAGGTTCATCCATTGTTTGAGCTGAACTGAATGGCACTAGGCTCTGAGTAATGGCTTTCTTTTTTTCTCAACCAGACTTTTAGAACACCTAGTTCAGAAAGAAAGAGAGTACCAGAATCTTCTCCGGCAAACCCTAGAGCAGAAAACTCGAGAACTGTATCATCTTCAGTTACAGTTCAGACCTACTGGTAAGTTTTCACTTGCTTGGACTCGTGTGTGAGACCACCTGAAGTGTGGCTAATGTTCTAGTCAACCTTGCCACAGTTACTGCTTTACTAGAGAGTAACTGTATGCTCTGGAATACTCCTCAGTAATAGAAAAACTGGCACATTCAGAAACGTGCGTGAATCACACATGCATTATGCTCCGTGAACGCCGACTGAAAGGGCTACACACCGAGTCCCTCGATACAGAATATGGACGCAATTCTCCGTTCAAGGCAAAATTCGAGGGACAGAAAGCACCACAATGGCAGGGGTGGGGAGGCGCGACGGTAAAAGGCTGCAAGAACTTCTGGGGGCGATGGAAATGTGTCACCCGGATGGTTATAGGACTCCTCGTCGAAGTTCACAGCACTGCATACCTAAAAAGGGTGACTGACTGCAGAAATGAAACCTCAGTAAACCTAATTCATTTCATGCCACTTACGAAAGAGCCGCAGCCAGCCACCTCTTGGGATGTGGGAGGGCGAGCACGGACACCACATCTCCGTACTGAATTCCACGCCCTCATTTGATTTCCAGCGTAGCTAAGGATGGGACTTCTTATAAAAGGCATTTTAAAAACTGGAATAAGCATTTAAAGTAGCACACATAGGAGAGCCTGGGTGGCTCAGTGGTGAAGTGTCTGCCTTTGGCTCAGGTCATGATCCCCGGGTCCTGGGATCGAGCCCCACTTCGGGCTCCCTCTCGGTGGAAAGCCTGCTTCTCCCTCCCCCACTCTCCTTGTGTGTTCCCGCTCTCACTGTCTATGTCAAATAAATAAAATCTTAAAAAAAAAAAAAAGCGGTAGACATAGAGCCTGTCCAGTTCCCAAGTAAGTAACATTACCCTTACCTGTGGTCCCTTTAATCTCTGAACAGTGAATCCAGGAACTGCATGCCGTGGATTAGAGCAGCTCAGACAGGTTTAATTCATAACCTTTCAAATCACGCTTCCGCTGTGTGTAATAGTTTATTCCATTCAACTTGTTACTTTGGAAGAGTTTTACTGTTAAACATTAATATACAACAAAACAAATTTCTCATCATCGCAGATACTACGGAGAACCCAGCATCCCCTCCTGGGTCTCAGGGGCAAAGAACTGATCCAGAGCTCGTAGACTGGTTACAACTGCAAGGAGCAGATGAGAGTACAATAGAGAAGGTAAATGTACGACAAAGAAAACATTCCTGTGCCGTTATTGCAAAGCAGCTTAGCTCTTCTGTATCTGGTGTACGTTACAGATTGTTGAAGAGGGCTATACCCTGTCTGATATTCTTAACGACATCACTAAGGAAGATCTAAGACACCTTCGGCTACGGTAAGAATGGCTTCAAAACACTGTAATAGAAAATGACTTTTTTCCTGTGATTGTGCTTTTAAATCAATAGAAAGCAAAGTGGCGCTCACTTTCCCCACTCAATGAAATTAATTTCCTTTCTTATCTGGGGCTTAGTCAGAAAACCAGCTACCCAACTTCCCCTCTAGCTCTGGAGTTTTGTTCAGGTAAAGCTGGGTACCAGTCAGAGGAACGTGAAACCCCAGAACTCCCGCCTCGCAGCAGTCCTCTGCCCTCCGAGCTCTCCCCAGCCCTTCTTTCCTCAGCCCGCCCTGTACCCGGCCCCCCCTCCCCCGTACATGCCTCTGAGGCCACGTGCCACTCCTACTGGAGCCCAAAGACAAGGGGACAGAGCTCTATTTAAGTCAGGAACACATTTTGGCTATCTAGACAAGTCTCGGATTGTACACTGTAGCTTTTGACACTAAGGGCTCCTACTGGGTGGTGTGGCTCTGAACTTCTCTTTTCTTGAGACTCTAAAGCAGACTCTCGGTTCTTTCCCAGTGGTGGTCTCCTCTGCAGGCTCTGGACAGCAGTCTCCCAGTACCGAAGAAGGGCTCAGCGGTCCCCGGCCTCCCAAGATGAGGCTGAACCAGTTGGCTAGGCCAGGGGACAGAGGGCGCTGAGCGGACATCTTTGTTGTTAAAAAGTTGGTAACATACACATGAATTCCATGGAGTTTACACAAGGAAAACCTCATTATTTAAGAACTTGAAGTTTTAGAGAATTACTGATTTTGGATTGTTTTTTTAAACCTCTTATCAACATGTTTTAAAGGTGAGTAGAACTTTATGTATTGGGAGAACAGTGAGTGAACTCTAATTTTGACATCCCAGAATATTACAGAATTCTGTAAAATTTCCATGTAGCTGTGCTGGAAAACTCCATACACCCTATAGCACTGACTGGAAAGGTGAAGCAGGTGTTTAAAGTAACAGGGTGGGATGGGCTTCACTGTTTTAGACCACAGTTTACTGTAAACGGGCATTGTACCTAAGATAAAATTGATAAGAATATGCCTTGTATTTAATGTTTGATATGAATGTAAATAGAAAACCATTAAGAAAATAGGTTTGTATTTAATGTATAAATGAAGAAAAGTAAATTATTTGGCCTTTGAAATGATCAGGAAGTGGTCTTATTTAAAAATGGTGTCGTTGGGGCACCCAGCTGGCTCGGTCAGTGGGACTCTTGGTCTCTGGGTCATGAGTTCGAGTCCCAAGCTGGGTGTAGAGATAACTTAAAAATAAAATCTTTGAAAAAGTAAAAATGGAGTTGTCCTTCTGCCCCCTGCCTGGAGGTAATAAATAACGTGTTTGAGAGCAGACGGGCGCCGCTGCAAGGTCCACGGCATGCTCCCACGCCCCCCGAGGGTAGGAATGGCTTTAGATTTAGTTGTATATTATTTAGCAGATGCTTTTCAGTTATTAAAAGAAATAGGACCATTGCAAGGAAATAATCTGAAATCTAAAATAACCTTATATAACATTCACACTAAGTACTTAAGTGTGCAGTAGCAGCTTTTAATGCAACACTGTACAGAACACATGCACTTACTACCTTAACCTACATTCTTCTTACGGGGTTTTCTTCCTTAACGAAGTTGAGAACAGAGTCCCTTACAGATGGAGCCCAAGAGCCCCCTGAAGGTGTAGCCATCCGTCACGTGCGCTCGCCCCTTAACTGACGGACTTAAACTTGATCCACTGATTGGCACCCCGAACTTCAAAAGGCGGATCGCTGCTGTAAATGTGATAGCCTAGCTCTTCCAAAGGCGGTTCAGGATCAGCAGTGGCAAACTGGGCAGCATCCTCAATTTCCTTCCTCACTTCAACATCAATTTCCTAAAAATCAGATTATGGTTCAAGAGGCTTTTAAATAACCAGCCGCTTAGGACACCAACTAGTTCTACTCGGAACCTGTTGCTAGTAGGGAACCAGAACCCTTCTAGGCCTGGAAGTACTAACAGTTGCTATTTTTGAAGACGTGTTTATAATGGCAATGATCACAGGAATATTTTGGAGCCCCACTGGGAACACTGATGGATACCTGGAGTCTATTTTTAGGAACACAGAACTGTGCTGCTGGGTCTCAAGGTTAAGCAAATAGGACTGCTTCATATCCTGCTGACACCACAATCCATCCTTTCCCACTGACCGAGGCAGCTCCCCCAGGAACGGCAGCTTTCTGGGTGCAGAAACACTGGTTGAGCCTACCTTTAATTCTTCAACGCTGGCCAGATTGCTGTTCACCATTCTATCCTTGAGCAGCATGATAGGGTCACTCTTACTTCTTACTTCCTGAATCTCTTCTCGGGTACGGTAACTACAAGAAGGCAAACAAGTAGGTCAGAACAGTTGTCTCTGCCACAGAGCTCTCCCCGGGGACATGATGCCATTATGTTCTCAAAATACAAGAACGCTGCCTCTAACATTCTAGTATCTTTCATAGAAAACTCTGCCCTGGCAATTCCTCGGGCTTCTCAGGCATTCTGACAACAGAGCTCAAGCCTGTATCTGCTGCTCTCATCGAGCTGTAGGATATGAAGAAAGTGGTAGAGCTGCATTATGTGCCATTTAGGTGGGTGGCAAGAACTGCAGACTGGAAGGTGACAGAATGCCAAGTAGGAGACACAGGAGCCCAGAGAAGTGGGGCCAGCAAAAACTTGGACAGTAGGTTTTCTAATTCCTGATTCTAGAATACAACTGACCCTTGAACAGAGCGCCAACCCCTGCCATGGACACAGTTGAAAATCTACCACTTTGAGTCCCGAAAAACAACTTACTAATAACAATTAATAGACATCGTGTATGTTACATGTATTATACGCTGTATTCTTAAGCCCGAAGTGTGAGAGAAAATACCGAATAGTAATGTTTTTATTGAAAATCCGTAAGATGGACCCGCGTGGTTCAAACCTGTGTTGTTCAAGGCTCAACTGTACATCCCCGTCCTACATCTCTGAAACCTGTTATTTCAAGTAACACTAAAAGGGAGGACTCTGTTTTCCTGAAAACACCAAGTGTTATTTTTCCACATAAGCTGCTCTTTGTAACACTTTCCCTTTGAACTCCGGTCTACTCCCAGGCTTGACGGGCAGGCTCACTCGGACTAAATCCACTTCTTCTATTTGTCACACTCTGGGACGGCAGCATTACATTCCAGAGTTACTAAGTGCCGAGTTCAACTATCTTCCTAATGTAACCTACTCTGTTTTGACTGATCTATTTCAACATACTGAATGCCCCTTGTTGCCAGGTGGCCTCGCCCCATACCAGCCAGGTTTTCAAATTCTGGCTCTATGGTGGGGTAACGCCTACAAAAGCTACATGCCCTGAAACATATATACTCGACGCCATCAACCTGTTCTGTGCAACGATTTCTCTCTACAATTTCTTAAAGCAACGTCTATCCCCAACGTGGGACTTGAATTCACAAATCCGAGAGTCACGTGCTCTACCCCGAGCTGGACTGGTGCCCCTCTCTGCAGTTTACTGCTGCTCATGTCAACATGTGCAGATTACATATTCTAGGGATTTTCAGAATGCTTCCAGGGAAAGAGTCGAACAACTACTCAACACCAACTACTTCACTGCATGAAGCCCCCTGGTATCTGGCTTCCAAAGCGAATGTTGAAATGCTTTGCTTTTTCATCTGAGTAGCACCGTGCGAGGCCCACCCACTCGGGACCCCACACTGATTTCCCATGACCATACCTGACGCCAGGGTCGCTCATGCTGTGTCCGTGGTAACGGTAGGTCTGTAGCTCCATCAGTATGGGCCCCTAAAACAGAACCCAGTGGAGACTGAGACAATGGGCACAGCACATCCTTCCAGAGTCAAAGATGTTCTCTTATCAGATTCTCTATCAGTTGGCTGAGTTGCCAAGAACTTCCTCTTAGCTAATACCTATGTATTCCATGTTTCATCCTTCTCATTAAGAATCAAAAAGGGTGGGGCGCCTGGGTGGCTCAGTGGGTTAAGCCTCTGCCTTCGGCTCAGGTCATGATCTCAGGGTCCTGGGATCGAGCCCCGCATCGGGCTCTCTGCTCAGCGGGAAGCCTGCTTCCCCACTCCCTCTGCCTGCCTCTCTGCCTACTTGTGATCTCTGTCAAGTAAATAAACAAAATCTTTAAAAAAAAAATCAAAAAAGCATCCAGCATGTTACAGAGCTCACTGACATTAAATTTTCCTCAGCATTGCCTCTGATAAATAATAATCCTATAAAACAGCTGAGATTTAATACAGAAAAACCTATTAGAAAGCAGGTATGTCACCAAGGGAGGGCATAGTTTTTATCTTCAGGATCAATAAAACTACTTTTTCCCCCTCAGTCAGAGGAAATGATCTACAAGCATTTGGAGCCTTTTTAAAAAGCTAGAGAAAAATACTAACACAATCTCGCAGAATACGCCTAAAAGCAAACCTCTAAGCGTGCTGGAAAGTGCAGAACAGGCGAACTAAAGCTAGGTTGGGTATGTCAATCTCCACCTCATGTTCCCTCGGAGAGGCCGACACCCCAACCTCCGCACAGGTCTGGCTAGCGTGTGACAAAGTTGATTCTCACTGACAACATCTGGGTAGCAGCCCTGTGATGCTGCCGGCCAGCCCGACCACCAAGACCGCGTCCTCTGGTTATACCACCCCCGTCTTCCAGAAGACATCTTTGAACACTGAGGGGAGAAGGGAGATCTAGGATCCCTGGGGCAGTCTGGTGTAGTAGTTGAGGGACGGGGAGGCCCTGCTCTCAGTCCACGCGCCTGGGATCCAAACCAGGCTGTCACATATAGTAGCTTTGTACCCTTAACTGCTCTGTGCCTTAGGTTACTCTTTTACAGGCAAGGGGACCTAACTCAAGGACTGTGCTGACTGACACAGAAGTGCTTACTGCGTCGTCTGACACCTGTCAATCCCTCACTGTTCCCTCTTTTTCTGTTCTCTGTCATCCAGGAGGTACTGGAAAACAGAGAGGGTTGGGCTTAAAGGGGTTTTGAAACGCTCCCCTAATTCCAAAATCAGGCTGTGAATGAACACAGAAATAAATTTATAATAATAAACCAGTGATCGTGTTTCCACGTACGTCTGTACCCTGCACGTTCTTTCAGGAACTGGGGAGGACGGGAATGATACTCACTGCCCAAGCCCCAGCCCTCTAGTCTGGGGAGTCCCAGTGTAGATTCCTGAGCCCAGTGCCACTCCGACATACTCACTTTCATTCCGTTCTCCTTGCACGCAGCCCCTCTCCATCTCCCTTCCTCCTCCACCCCCCACTCCCCACATGCATCACTGCTAGCCCAGTCTTACCACACGGGGCATGTCTCGGAAAGGTAAACCCCAGGGACGTGCTTCCTAGGCTGTGAACGCCAACTGAACACCCTCCCACTAGCTCTGATGGTACCTGAGCCAACTTCACTGCGTCCTCTCCCTCCACTACTTTACCTGAAAGGTCAAGATTCTCAGGACCGAAAAAACAAGACTAAGATGACACACTTTAACCCTCATATTTAACTTAAGGAAGACAAGCTTACACTGAACGCTTCTCATCCAAGCAAAGTTCTGTACTTACTAAGCGCTGTGAGGGTCGCCAATCTGCTCAGTCAAGGGGCTTATGATTAATGGGGAGGAGGAGTGGAGGGCGGAGGCACAGAATTAAACCACAAGGCATGATGCTGAAGGAGCGCTCAAAGGAGAGAGCCACGCCAAATGCGGGCATCGAGGGATGCTTCCCAAGAGGTGAGCTACCAAGACCATGGTGTTTACAAAGGGACCCGATTCACTGGCCTCTGCTTCTACCTTATACACACCTCAATTGCCAGCCACCCCTGATGAGCTGTAAGAGACACACGGGAGGCATTCTTTTAATTTTAAGGTAAATGTCAACAGAAATCTCTGACCCGGAGGCCTAAGAGAAAGTCTTACCTTTCCAGATCTACAGTAGGCAGCTGCAAACCTTGTTGCCTCCCGGACACACAAGATGTCCATTCCATCTACCTGTTCAGACACAGGAAAGGGCAAAGCATAAACCAAATGCATCAGACCATTTTCACTTTACAGGACCCATCCATGCGCTGAGAACAGAGAACTCTGCGATCTGTCTGAGGCGGTCAAGGACCCACAAAGGGGTTGCCCCGGCCTCACACCAGGTGTGCTCACCCTCAGCCCAGGGATGAAGTCGCCTCTCTTGTAGTAGTCTGTGCTGGCCGCTGCTCTCTCAACAGATGTTCCCATTCCATAGCGGTTATTCTCACAGATGAAAACACATGGTAGTTTCCACAAAGCTGCCATGTTGTAAGCTTCAAATATCTGACCCTGGAAGTGTGGATAAGAAGTTCAAGTGGCTTTATCTGGCTATTTTTCTCTAGACTACTACGTCATCCCCAACAGCCGCTGCTCTCCCTAGCATGAAAGCTTTCCCAAAAAATGGAGAGCTTCTCCTTCCACAACAGAGCTTTTAAGGCAAAGGAGTGTGTGTGTGTGATGGGGGGGTGGGGAAGACACGACAAGCATCATCTCTTTTTGCAAACAAAGTGGCAAACCAAACACCACCACTTGTTTTGGTGGGGCCAAGGCAGTGGTACAGAATACGTTAGGAAGAGACCAACATGTAAAACTTCGTGGCTACCTCCTGCTATGCTTTACTATAAATGGGTGACAGAGCGAGCCGCTGTCTGAGAACCCGCCTTCGGAGCAGGGCCTCAGTGTTGTCCATGGCCTGGTGAGGACTCAGAGCATCACAGGAAAAGTACGAGCCAAGGCTCAGAAACCACGAGAGGAGTCTGACGATGCCACGGCATCCAAGAGAGGTCTGCACGTTACAGGACTGGCATAACAGCTAGTCTGCCCTGGATGAAGATGTAAAAAGGTCCTTCACCCGCAGAGTGTTTGTGAAGCCCTGAGGCGGAGGCAGAGGAGAGCGCCTCCGTGGGGTGCTGGCACGAAGCGCTTGTGCCACACGCCAACAAAGGAAACCTGTAATGCAGCCATAAAAACCTGTAATGGGGCCATAAACCCCACTTCCGGCCTGCCCTGAACGGCTACTTCAACTGCGAAGCAACAGACTCCTTGTCCACCCATGGAACTAGAACTACGCAACAGTTTGGAAACAAAACTACAAGGGTTACTACTGCCAAGTCAAGAGACACGTACTCACCTGATTAGCAGCACCGTCACCATATAAAGTCAGACAGACCTCATCCTTTCCGTTATACTTACAGGCCAGAGCAATCCCCGCTCCCAAGGGCACCTAGTATTGAGGACAACCAAGAAAAGAACCACAGACATCCATGAGAGGAGAAAGTAATGCTCCGAATTTTAAGCCCTGGCCGGAATTTAAGAGATGACACTGTCGGCACAAACCCCCCCACTCTCCCTCCCCCCACTACCCTGCCGCCGGTGCTGCAATCGAACGGTACAGCAACATGAATAATTCTACCTTAACCATCAAACAATAACACTTCTATAAAGATTCAACTACTGAAGAGCCAAAGTACGAAACCTAGGTCTTTTTTTTTTTAACATACAGCAGCAGCACATTACAAAGGCAAACAATTTTATAATTTTACGCCATTCTTCATTTCCTTGCATTTTTTTTTAATTCTAGTTAACACATAGCGTTACTGCTGGTTCCAGGAGAATTTAGTGATTCGTCACTCACACATCACATCCAGGCGGTAACTTCATTATTCAGTAACTGAGGAGAACAAAGAGGACGGACTGTGTGGCCACAAAAGCTGGACTGATTACTGCCATGGCCCCTAAGATCCTGATCGCCTGCCTTTCCTCCTCAGATACCTGCACCCACAGTCTATAGCAGGGGGAGGAAGGGCTAAGTGGATGTAACAAAGCAATTAATGTGCTTAAATATAAACGAAAAGGTGACAGGATAGGCCGCTGCTAGGGGTTCTTGCTTATGTATAAAACGTTAAAAATTACCTAAAAAGAAGAATTTTAAATCACTGTCCAAATCTATTATTAACTCATCAAATGGTAAGCTCTGAATCAACAGGTCCTTTAAAATACACCCAGCACCCAAAGTACTAAAATACGTGAAAGGGAAGCTCTCCCAGGTAGGACATGTTAAGACATGGTCCAGGGCCAAATCTAGGAAAGCGGGCAATCCTCGTCCTCCGCGCGGATCACCTGAGCTCCGACGATGCCGTTGCCTCCGTAGAAGTTCTTGGCGTACATGTGCATCGATCCTCCTTTCCCTTTAGCACAGCCTCCTCTTCGTCCTACAAATGGCAGCACGTGCACATACACATCAACGCAAATATACAAGGGAAAACCACACCCCAAGTATTTACTTAAGAGGCTCAACCGCTGGAACTCACAGGCTAATTCAATTCTATAAGCACCCTTCCCTCTATGCAAACACAGATTCCACCCTTATGTCCTGGTCCTTTCAGGAAGGTCGATCCAGTCCCATGTCCTTGAGTTTTCCAGCTCGCTAACCACTGAGTTTCCTTTAGATGGTAGCATCGCGGTACCCTGGACTTTTTTTTTTTTTGCCAGCTATATCTTCCGAGTTCTCCCGCACTGGTACACTGAACAGTTCAAGAGTCAAGGGGGGGTAACAAAGGGAATAGTAAAAAGATTCCTAGAATTTAAACTGCATACAATGGAATGCTCCTACTCTCAGTTTTCTTTCTATGACTGCTAATTTCTCCTGGTGTGCTTGAGTGACAAACAGTATTCTAATTTTATAAAGCTAACGTTTTTAGACTTACTAAACGTTCACCTGAGGGGCCAGGTGACCTCAAAAATAGTTTGCTAAAAAGCACAACAGATATATCAGAGCCCCACAAGGGAGAGCGGCTTTTATTTCATACTCAAAAAGGTTTTAACGTTAAGCTGTAACAGCATCTTAATATGAGAAATCTGCACTTACTTCACTAATTCCCCCTTTTTGAATATCAATAGCAAACCTGTAAGCTCTGTGAGAATTTCTCGGACAGAAAGCCCACGAGTGAAGGTAAAGCCATGAGCCCGATAGGCTGTGATGAGATGGTCTGTAGGATTTATGCCGGCCTCCAGGCCCACACAACAAGCTTCCTGCGTTAAAGGAAGAAGCAGTTAATGAGTCAGTAACATACACATTTCTAGATAAAAATCCCTAGCCTATTATGAAAATTTGGCCCAGTAGAACTCTTAATAACCAAAACAGGAGCTCCATTTTTTTTTTAAAGATTTTTAAATTTGACAGATCACAAGTAGGCAGAGAAGCAGGCGGGGCGGGGTGGAGGGCGGGGAGCAGGCTCCCCGCTGAGCAGAGAGCCAGACACGGGGCTCCATCCCAAGACTCCGAGACCACAACCCGAGCCGAAGGCAGAGGCCTTAACCCACTGAGCCATCCAGGCACCCCAGGAGCTCCATTTTTCATCAGAAACAGAACAGAGTGAAAAGTTAAGCCAGAAGCTACCATCTGGAAATCCACAGATTTACTGTTTCAAGCCGGTACAGTGATTTGGAAAAAAATTCCTGAATAAGATGTCAACAATACTGGGAGAATTTCATATGAAAATTGAAACTGGAGCGCCTGGGTGGCTCAGTGGGTTAAGCCTCTGCCTTCTGCTCAGGTCATGATCTCAGGGTCCTGGGATCCAGCCCTGCATTGGGCTCTCTGCTCAGCAGGGAGGCTGCTTCCCACCCCACCCCTGCTGCCTGCCTCTCTGCCTACCTGTGAGCACTCTGTCAAATAAATAAAATCTTTTAAAAATAAAGAAAAATAAATAAAATTGAAACTTCTGTTATCTCTTGAAGAACCAAAACCAGGAAGCATTAACCCCAGATTTCCATATGACACCAACTGGCTAGAAGTAAGTGATGGTGTCTCCGGGTGGGCGGGGCCTGCCCACTCCAGTCCACCAGCAGTCCCACCTTCTTCACTAATTTATTCCACCCAGCTCGTCCCCACAGGCATTTGAATTTGTAACCCTTGGCCTAAACCAGAAAAACAAAACACAAAGGGAAAACCCTCTCGCCCACAAGTATATGCCCTATAGGTGATCATAAAGCCATCAAGGCGCTGGACACCAGCAGCGGGATGTGTGTGTGATTTCCTCAGCATGAGCTTCGGAGCCGGCCTCGCAAGCTCGTCTGTGTTCTGACAGGCTGGCCTCAAATCCTTCAGATGCGTAAGGCGGGGTGAAGAACTACAAACCATACTTAAAACTCCTACATCTAACATGGTTTTACTACAAAACCACCACTCACCTGACCATCACACAAGTGACAGAAACCACGAATAATCTTCTGCTTGTACAGCTGATCTGCCTTTAACTCCATCCGGCGGACCGTCTGCATCATCCTGTAGTACTTGAGCCCGTCCTCCCTGGTGAGCACTGTGGTGACAGGAGGGCCCTCCTCCAGCCGGTGAAGATCGCATTTCTGAAATGGAATCAGTTAACTTCCAGTTACTACAATGTAAACAAGGACAACCCACTGTAAGATCTATTATCTCACTGCGATAATATTTAACTCAAAAACCAGCAGAGGAGCACAAAAGAAATGCCGCTCATTGCTTCTGACTTCTTAAATCATAAAGCTCATTCTGCAAGAGGATCGAGTTTAGAGGAAAGAAATCGAAGATGACTCCCCCCGCCCCAATCCATGGGAGTCAAATGAGTTATAGAGGCTGAAAGACAAACTTCCAAAGAAACTTTTTTTTTCTAAGATTTTATTTATTTGAAAGCGAGCACAAAGAGGAGCAGCAGCAGCAGGAAAGGAAGAAAGCAGACTCTCCACTGAGCAGAAAGCCTGACGCAGGCCTTGTGGACCTGTGGAAAAATTACTAACGCAAAGCAAAACACCTCTTACCTTAATTTCAAATGTAGCATCATTTGCAAAATTACGGGAGGCCACGAGCACTCTGCTTGCCTTGAAAGACCAAAATATACAAATATATCAGCACTTTTTATTGTCAGGTATTTTTGAAAGTCATTATTATTATTTATCAGTTATCAGGATGCAGTCCTGGATTTTTCATAAGCCCCAACATATTCACGAGTGTATCCTCCACTCTCTTTACTTTGTTGGGATCTTGCCTTTAAAATGAATCCATGCTCTGGCCAATGAAACATGATCACACCCACTTCAGAAGTTAACAGTAGAAAGAGAAAGGAGGCAAAAATCAAACCCATCCACTTGGCCATTTTGTTTCTAAAGAAATTACAGTGAAAACAGAATGAAGTTAATGGCCAAACTGAAGAGACTAGATAACCTGTGGGCTTTGTTTATTTCTGCTATTTGCAGGCATAACCAGACAATGAACAAGCCAAAACTTTACTTTCAGAATGATTCTTCATATAAAACTATGACCCAATTCCCATTTCAGGTAAACCACTATCCTATGATTTGGCTCCACAACAAACATATTTTAAACCATTCAAAGTATGAGATACAAGCCTCAGGAGGGAGAGATGTTCTCTGCAATCAGCGTTCCATTCTTGCCGTTTGCGTGGCTGTTAGTGCTTGGGTGGTAAAAAGGGGGGAAATGTTTCCTTTCGACTTTTTCAACTGAATATATCTGCTCACAACAGAAGTACTCTACGTGATGGCTAAGGTCCAGATTAGACCACACACATTTAAGCAATTACTATTACTGTATTATTTTAGCCACATTCTGCCACATTTTCAAACACTGATATGTAAATTGACATGACTTCTTTCCATGGAGACCTGAAGCACATTCTTCACATCCCACAAAAAGTACAACTGAAGTTGTAGTCCACTCTTGCTTTTATCCAGTTAACAAATTAGTGTAACTCAAAATTCATTTCTATTTGATTTGGGTGGTATTATATGACTTTTGAAGAGGCCAAAGTTTTACTGCGATGAAGTGCAATTTGCATTTCACGCCAATGCACTGCTGGAAGAATGGAAAACACAAGCAAGAGTATGTAGAGCAGCCGAGCAAATGAGCCTCTGGTATTAATGACTTCTCTCTGTTCCCAGGGACACAAGGTGACAGTAATTTGAAAACGCACACACCAGTTTTTCTTTTCCTGTAGAACACCACCACTTCTATCGAAGTTTTTCTTTTCTACTGCAGCCCTTTAAAATTAACCTGATTCAGAACTAAGACGCTCACATAAAGTTGAAAACGTGTTTCCATTACTTACATTCAACTAAAAAGTGAAGATGTGAAGATTAAATAGCCTAGAGCCTGGCACACATTAAGAGCTCAAGAAAGGCTGGATGTATCTTGTGATATACAGAAATAAAACTGAAATGCGCTTATCTTTCAGATGGATCTAGTTGCAATTAAATGCTAGTAAGGGATGAACCAAATTGTGTTTTGTAGTTATTTCAGTCAAAGGGGTTTCCAGAAGAGTATACTTCCTACTTTTCAATGATCTCTGCGCATTCTAGGCAGAACTGCCCCCAAACCCTGCGAGTCGCTAGAACTTGAAGCGCAAGTCAAGCTTGGCTGCTAGGTGTACCCAGTAATACTACCTCCCCACACCAAGAGATCAAAATGCTTGAAGGCATTAGGCGCACCTAAAAGCTAGAGCCATAAATAGTGCTAACCTTCCACCCTCCCAAGCAGCACTGCTGTTTTCTTTAGCTACTTTTACCCTAAGCGTCTGTGTTTAAGGAGGAGGGCGGTTTCCTCTAGGTTCTGCCTGACTGGTCTTGAAGTGACTGCCAAGAAAAACCCAACGTTGAGGAACGAGGGGGAGGTGGTTTCTAGGGAGCATGACCCGGACTTAACCCTCCAGAGCTGGGGGCAGGTGTTCCACAAATGTATACCCAACGGGGCACCGAAATACCACTGAACACAGATGGACCTGGCACTATTTGGAAAGGTTAACGTACGCGTCACGCGTTTCAGCTTCACGACAACCCCAGGAGATGAATACTCGTAGTATCTCCTCTTCAGAGAGAAGGAAACCGAGCACGGGAGATTTAAAACAAAAACAAAAACCCGCCCAAGGTTACAGGGCTCGTAAATGGTGAGGCAGGTGTTTGAACGCGACTGGTCTCGGGATTTCACGCTCTTAACATACTACACGGCCTCTCAATCAAGAAGAATGTAATTAGGAAGATTTAAAATGAGTGGGAAGGATCAACTGGATACTCAGGGATGCCCAAGGCCCCCTTTTCTATCCGCAATAAAAGAACAAATACTTCTGGAGCACACCTACTTTAGCCGGTGCCGGAAGCCGCGGCTGACCTCCCCGCGGACCTCGTAGAGCTCCCCTCCCCCACTTCGCTGCCGAAGGGCCGGGCAGCCGCTCGTCCCGGGGCCGGGAGCGGACTGCCAGGCGCGAAGGCAAAACAAAAGGCCCGTGGCCCGCCGGCCGCTCCGCAGCGCCGTCGGCGGCGCCACACCCCGCGCCCCCAGACCCGGGCCGTCCTCCTGCGTCCTCCGGGATCCGGCCCCGCCTCGGCCCCGCCAGCGCCCTACCCCGGGCCGCCCACGCTGCCTCACCGGCTTCTGGGCGACGCCCAACACGCGAGAGACAGCGGCGAGCATCTTCCTCATGGATGGCCGGCAGTGGCGGCGGCAGTGGCGGCGGCAGTGGCGGCGGCGGCAGCGACTCAAGCAGCGGGACCCCCAAATCTCCAAGTCTCCTTCAAGCGCCCTGAGCGGACGCCACGCCTAAACCGGAGCACGACGAGACGCACGGAAACACGTCATGCGCCGCGCCGGGCCGCAGGCCAACCAGGAGGGTTCCTAGGGTGTGCCCCGCCCACCAAAAAGGCCCGCGGCAGCTCAGTGGGTGTCGGCGCCAGAGAGGGAGGGGCCTGGGAGCTCCTTCCGTCACCACGCCGCGGAAGGGTGAGGATGCGTAACGCGTCGGCCTGGGAAAGTGAAGCCCCGCCTTCAGGGCCCCGCGGGAAAATGGCCTTTTCCTTGGGTTTAGCGACCTACGGTGCTCCCAGACCTGCCGGTGCTGCACTTTTGCAGCTTTCGCTCAGGGCACGGGATGGTGAAGATTTACGGCATGGTCGGAGCCAAAAGACAGAACATCTGGTTTCTGTAAATGGTTCTGCTGCTAACTTGTTTTAAAGAGATCATGTAACCGTTGTAAAATGCCGTCCTGTCTACCTGAGCTACGATCTAACAACCGGTTCCCCAGGTAAATTTTGAGAGATCACTGGAAAAAGCCTTTAGCTCTAGTTATTGGTTCACAAGCTCAACGTGAGTTAACAGCATAACACATCTGATAATAAAAGCATACGCCAAGAAACAAGCACAAAAAACAACTCTAGGTGCTATTCAGTGAGTTCCCAGGTCAAAAGGCTGGTTGTGGGCTACTGGGATTTCACCTGGGGTACGGTGTTCAGATTTGAGCTCCCCATTTAAGGGGTACAGTGTCAAAAATGGGTGGAATCCAGGGGACTGGTCAGAAGGGTGAGAGGCTGAAATTATAATTTGTGAAGAATGATTAAAAGAGGGGAAAAGCCAGATTAACTTGGGAGTGGGCTAGGTTGTGTTTTGTTAACATAATGAACATTGACCTTCATATTTCAGTCACTCCAAGAACTTGAAATGACTCAAGTCACCTTGTTTGCACTACAGGTCCCTCGGAGCTTGGTTGGGGCTCTGCCCCATGTCATCTTCCCTCTGGCACTCAGAGAGATGCAACAGCCTCTCTCAGGAGCTTAGCACGGTGTAGGGCAAGGAGATCATTTCAGCTGGCTCTCAAAGCTTCTACCCAGAAGTGATACATGTCTTCTCAATTTCCGTAAACCAGAGCTAGTCACCCAACCATATCTGAATTCAACAGAGTGAGGTATATATAATCCTTCGGTCAGGAAGAAACCCAGAAAAAAGGAAACAGTAAAACTGTAGAGAACTGGATACATCTTTGCACATTTTCATGCCAGCCATGTTCCATGAGAAAGAGCTATTGTGTGCGTGTGTGTGAATAAAAGGATTTCAGTTCAGTATAACAATGAATTTCCTAACAATAACAATTGTCCCATGAGATGATTCCCTACTGGTGTCACCAAAAGTATTCAAATCCAAAGTTCAAAGCATGACCAGTTGTCAGAATGGTTAGAAGAAGGAATCTGACACTGGCAGGAGCGTCAACTGAGAGACCTTGTTGATTCCTCCCACCTCCATGACTAGGTGACCGTGAGAAGAGCACTCTTCAAAGGAGTGACCAGGGCCATTAAAAGGTAGGGATGGAAGTGAGATGCTGCTGCAGATTGAATGTGAAGGGTGAAGGAAAAGGAAGGCAAAGGGTCAGAGGTCAGATGCCTGGGTCACAAGTAGCAGCTGGCCTGGATGGTTTGGGACATGTTGGCCTGGAGGTGGCAGTGGAACCCTTATCCGTACATGTACCCCAGGAAGTTGGAGTTGTAAATCTGGAACATATGGCTAGAAACAGGAAACTGGGAGTTACTTGCACAGGGGTGATACTGATTTGTGTGTCCAAGAACAATGCAGGACATGGGGACATAAACAAAGTCATTCATTCATTTAACCCATTTGTTGAGAACTGATTGTGTGTTAGGTACTGTTGGAGGCACTGGGGATACAGCAAGGAACAAGTAGAATATAGGCTGTGTCTCACAGAGCTAATAATCTAATGGGGGTAATTAACAAGTGCACATAAATATTATACAAACATATAATACCAACAATACATGGTGTGAAGGAAAATTAAACAGGGTGAGGGGATAGAGAATAAAGAGGAGGGTCAGAAAGGCTCCTCTGAGGAGGGGACATGTGAGCAGAGACCTGAATGCAATCAGGAAGCAAACTGCCAAAATCCCAAGGAGAGCTTTTCACACAAAGGGAACGACCAATACAAATGCCCTGAGGTGGAAAGAAATTTTGTACATCAGAAGAATAGCAAAAAGACCAAGAGCCTTGGTGGCAAAAAGCAGGCAGAGGGCGAGAAGAAATGAAATAGAAAAGAGAGAGATCAGAAAAGGAGGACCCCAGTGGAATTTTTTGGTTTTCTTAGGAAGAAATGGAATTTTGTTTTGAATGGGATGAGAAGCTATTGGAGGGATGGGAGCAGGGAAGTGGCCTTCATTTAATTTCCATTTCCACTGAACGCTTAAAAACATCCTGGTTGTTGAATGGGCATTTGATTACGTGGGAAGAAGAGTTCCCTTAGTGCCTGTTCTTTGAGTTCTGAGTAGCTTCTGCTTCCTTTGGGGGAACTTGTAGTTGTAGACGGTAGCGGACTGGATGTAAGTTCTTTGCTTCCTATTTGAAGAAGCAGGTCCTACACCCTCTGTGTGTCGTTGCTACGCAAACACTATAAAGATTTAAGATGTAGGATTTTATAAGAATAAAAGAATAATGAAGGGAAACGTGTACCTCATTGTTCCTCAAAGTTTGGATCACCGTACGAAGCCAGACAGACTGACCAGGCAATGTTGCAGTAACACATGAGTCTCAAGTATCATTCGATGACTACAACAGAGGTTAGACATAGACAAGGACTCATGGTCTATGTCTAGCATGGATCGTTCAGGGACTTTATCCACGATGTCACTCAAAAACCCAGGATGACACTCTCATATTTGAATATGTAACCATCATGGTCAATGTGGCAGGAAAGGAGAGAGCGTGGAAGGGTCTCATGATGGCTCTTAAACACTTGAGCTAAGTATCCCCTGTCCCTACTGTACGATCCCTCTAGAGATGGTGGCTCCATGAACTCCTCTGCCATCCAGCAAGCAACACTCTCTCCAACAAGGAGACTCCTCCTTGGGTGCTGTATTTCAGCCCCAAGGGCAGTGGCTGCTTTTCTATCTGCTAGTCCTGTATCCTTTATATTTCTCTTGAAGTCTTCTCCCTCCTACTCCAACCCCCTATTATTCGAACAATAAAATAAGTAGTGACAGTAGTGGATTGTAACCCATTAAAGAAAATCAATACCCATGAATCCATACAGACATAAATACACATTTGACTAAATAAGTAGGGGAGAAGAGGCAACTTTTCCTTACAGGATACTAGACACACCAGATAAAATAGTAAATTCACAATGGAGAAACAGGTTATCCAATTTTTATTTTTTATTTGTTTTTTAATAAAGATTTTATTTATTTGACAGACAGAGATCACAAGTAGGCAGAGAGGCAGGCAGAGAGAGAGGAGGAAGCAGGCTCCCCGCTGAACAGAGAGCCCGATGCGGGGCTCGATCCCAGCACCCTGGGATCATGACTTGAGCCGAAGGCAGAGGCTTTAACACGCTGAGCCACCCAGGTGCCCCAGGTTATCCAATTTTTAATAAGTAAGATATTTTCTTTGCACTCTTTTTTTTTTTTTTTTTGCCAGAAATATCAAAGCTGGAATTGGAAGTGACCTTGAAGGTGAGGGACACTTCAGGTGTTGTATGAGTGGTGACATGCTAAGGTTGCAGTTCACGGTCGTTGGCTATGGACCATAATAATCTCATCTGTGCTAGAACATTAACAAAGGACTCTTGCCTCTGGGGGAGGAGAGGGCAGGGAGACGGAGAAATAATTATAAAAGGCAGGAACCTGAGGAAGAGACCATCTTAAGAGAAGAATAAAGAATAACACGTGTTAGGGACAGTGTGGAGAAAAGGAGGCCCTCGTGCACTGTGGGTGGGGATAGAAATTGTTGTGGCTACCATGGAAGACAGTAATGCCACTTCTGGGCATCTCTGTGAAGAAAATGAAAACACTAAAACCTCTACATTCTCTGCAGCATTGTGCACAATAGCCATTTATGGAAATGACCCCAGTGTCCGACAATGGACAAGTGCAGGCAGGAGATGTGGTCTACGGGCGGCATGGAAGATCATGCCGCCATCCAAAGAAGGCGATGGTGCGTCTGTCACGATGTGGCTGGACCTGGGGGGCATTATGACTCTAGTTAAGGATGCTGTATTGTATATTTGAAAGTTGCCAACAGAGTAGATCTCATCTTTAAAATGCTCATCACACCGGGATGCCTGGGTGGCTCAGTCAGTTGAGCATCTGCCTTGGCTTGGGTGATGATCCTGGGGTTCTGGGATCGAGCCCCGTGTCGGGCTCTCTGCTCAGCAGGGAGCCTGCTTCTCCCTCAGCCTACCGCTCCCCCGGCTTATGTTCTCTCTCTCTCTCTCTGACAAATAAATAACAAATATATCTTTTAAATCTTTAAAATTTTTTTATATCTTTAAGAATATTTTATCTTTAAAGATCTTTAAAGATCTTTTTATATCTTTTTAAAAATATATAAAATTAAAAAATTAAAAATAATGTGCTTTATCACAAGGGAAAAAGGTACTGTGTAGTGTTGGCTGTTAATCTAGACTTACTGCACTGATCATTTCAAGACATGTACAAATGTCAAATCGTTACGTTGTATCCCTGACACTAATATATGTTATATGTTAATATATGTTATATGTTAACATATGTTATATGTTATATGTTAATAATCTCAATTTTAAACAAGAAAAAGAATCCTATCATTTCCTAACTTATAGGAAAATAAACATTGACAGGCTGTGTTTAAAAAAAAAAAAAGAGGGGGACTTCAGAGCTTGGCTGGAATGGGAGATGAGATACTCTTCCTTCTGTCTCTAGCACTCCTGTCCGCCAGGGCTCTCCGCTCGCTGGGTGAAGCTGGAGGATTGAGTGAAATACGGTTTTTGGCTTTTCCTTTCCAAAGTTTCCCCAAAAGTACTCAA